TCCCAGCCTCCACATGCGGACAGGGCCTCGGGGCCGAGCGGGACGAACGGGTTAGCGTCGGGACGCAGGGTCGACTCCACGATCGGTGCGCCCACCCGTCCTTGCCCGCGGCAGCCCCGCTGCACCGTATTCAGGTCCTGGAACGCGAATCCCTGCAACTGGGCCATGGGAGCGTTGAAGACATGCATGGCAACGTTGCGCATGACGACCTCCATCCGCGAGGGCACCGCCGTATCGCCACGGCGGCGCGCGGACACCTTCTCGGCCAGGAAGGACATAATGGCGAGCAGGGGGCCATGGACATCAGGGTCAGAACACATGCGTCCCTGCTGCTCCAGCTCGACGACCCTGTTCTGCAGCGCGCTGAACTTAGCTTGGGCGGTTAGCGCAGCCTCCCGCCGACGCGCACCACGAGGAAGCCTCGGTGGGCCTCCTGCCGTCGCCATCTCAACCAGAACAAACCAACGGGACGCCATGAGCGAAGCACATAGAGCCAAGATGTTGGGCAGGTGCGGCTTGAGCCAAAATGGTTACGGACTCCTCCTCCTCCTCCTCCTCCTCCTTCTCCTCTTCCCTCCTTTTCCTCCCCCTCCTCCTCCTCCTCATCCTCCTCCGCCTCCTCCCCTTGCGATCCATGCGTGGCCAGGTTCCTCCATGATGGAAAACCGACGCAGCTGGCGAACAGGCGAGCAGACGCGAAAAGAGGAGAGCGGCCAAGGCTGCTGGGTAACCACGTTGGCGACCACGGGCGCAGGCAGACCCGTCATTGATTTTCGCCCACCTCGTCTCCTCTTTTCTCCTCCTCCTGAACTCGCTGCGATGGCGGCGCCTGGCTCCCTGCTGCGTGTGATCGTCATGGGCGAGCTGCGTGTGGAGACTTCCTCACACGTCACAATATACTGGCTCAGCTGAGAGGGGAGCAACGAGCATGCCGTCGCCGAGTGCTCCTTGCAGTGACAGTGTGAACGCCAGGGCGCCCAGGGCGCGGCATTCCAGAAGGCGGACCGCGAGGTTCACCAACCCTTCCGGAATGCCCAGCGAGCAGGTGCGCGAGGTTTTCGAGACAAAGGCCGAGACGCAGCACACGCAAGCAATCACCCCTGGGATCATCATGCAGAGTTCCAGGGTCGTGAACTAGCAGGTTCTCGGGCAGAAGACCCTGAAGGCCCAGGCTGCCGTCGAAATGACTCCGATCGACACCAGTGCGCAGCGGTTCGTTGCCGTGCCGCAGGTTGGGGTCGCTGACGCTGTCGGCGGAGCTGGCTCAGCAGATGGTTGAAGGGCCCATGGCCGATGGTACACAAGGCGCCCACAGCCCAGACGGCCCAGACGACTGTCGTGGTGCCCGGGGCGAATTCACCCAGCAGAAGGCCGCAGACGTGAAACAGAGCGATGCCGCCGACAAAGTGGGCGGCGGTGCGTCCCGAAGGCAGGTCGAGATGCCTGCGGACCCAATGAGCCCATGCTTCAGCAGGATGTCGTGGACGCGCCCATGTTCACGCAGGAGGGCCAGACCGGCGAGCGGCTCCAGGTCGGACACAGCAAACAGGCTCCGGAACACCAGGAGCTCGAAGGCACTTTCGACGCGATGTCTGGCAAAATCTCCGGGTTCTAGACGGCCGCGTGAACCCCGCCGCATTCCGCAGTTAGTGAAGACGCTAGCGGCCCTTCATGAGGTTTGCTTGCGCGCGGCCAAGCGTGACATTAGTAGAGCCTGGTTGGTCGTCCCCTCCTACATCCCACACGCCCATGCTAATACATCCCCTGCGCATGCATCCCCTGCTAATGCATCTCCTGCTAATGCATCCCCTGCTAATGCATCCCCTGCTCCTACATTCCCCCCTAGCGGTAGTCACCCCATACATCCCCTGCTAATCTCGTCCTCCCCTCCTCCACGCCAGCGAGTACAGGCGGCCTGGCTCGAAGCAGCGTCAGGCATTCGTGTGGAGCGCAGGTGGGGGGGAAGTGAAGGGAATGGTCGTGCAGTAATGGTTTGAAGGGCGGTAGTCCAGTCGCGGCCATGGCTGGAACTCGGGGAATGATTTCACAACGCATTTTCATAACAGACCCAGGTCTGTTTAGGAAACGGCCTCACACAAGCGTCAGGCCGAAGGGTTTGCGCGCCACCACTTTCCACCTCGTTCCCCTCCCTCCCTGCATCGACTCCTCCCTCTTCCATCCGAACGCCCTCCGTGGACATCGCCAATCTTGCGGTACAAGGAACAAGGGTAGTTGGGACAAGGAGGAAGGGAAGGGGTAGAGGGAATTAAAGGGAGGGAGGAAGTGTTGGATTAGGGTAGTCGGACAAAGGAGGGGAGGGAGGGAGGGAGGGAGGGGATTGAAGGGACAAGGAGGGAGGGAGGGAGATTAAAGGGACAAGGAGGGAGGGAGGGAGTGTTGGATCAGGGGGAGGGGAGGGAGGGGAGGGAGGAGGGATTAAGGGACAAGGATGGAGGGAGGGAGGGGATTAAAGGGACAAGGAGGGAGGGAGGAAGTGTTGGATTAGGGTAGTCGGGACAAGGAGGGAGGGGAAGGGGTAGAAGGGAGGGGAGTTGTGACCCGGCGCCAGGCGAGGAGCCGCGTCGGATAGTTCAAACATGGTAAGCCCTTAGGAGTGTTTCCCCGACCCGGACTTTTCGAACACTCCTCGCCTTCCTGCCGTCCCCCTTCCTTCAGGCCTGATCACTAGCGCACGTCGACCCTCCACCTCCGTCCCCTTCCTCCGCAAGGGGATTGGGGCACACTTCCAGCTGCAGCACAATCAAGCGAAAGCCCACCACCTCATCCTCCTCATCCTCCTCCTCCTCCTCCTCCTCCTCCTCCTCCTCCCTCCTCCTCCTCCTCCTCCTCCTCCTCCTCCTCCTCCTCCTCCTCCTCCTCTTCCTCCTCCTCCTCCTCCTCCTCCTCCTCCTCCTCCTCCTCCTCCTCCTCCTCCTCCTCCTCCTCCTCCCTCCTCTTCCTTCTGAATGGAGCAGACTCGAGCAACCAAGGGCTGTAGCGTCCGACTTAGGCGAGGTAGCCTTAGCAGCAACACATCAACGCAAGAAGCATCAGCTGTGGCCGCTCAGTGGCAGGAAGGCGAAATAGCAAAGGATAAGCATGGGGGCCAATGGGGGCCTGCGAGGGCACTGAGAATCCCCCTCCTTCTCCTCCTTCTCCTCCTCCTCCTCCAGGATGGGGGTGGGGGGGCCTGCGCAGCGTTGGAGGCGAGGATGGACAGCAGCTCCCGACTCTCCAGGGGCTGGTCCTGGGGGGGGGGCGGGGGGCGAGGAGGATGGAAGGGAACCTGAGCAGGAGACGCCAACTCTGCGCCTCCGAGGTCTTGCGTGTCTTTATCATTTCTCTTCGCCTACTACGTTCTCATCACCATCGGCGTGCGCTCAGGCTTTGTTCACCCAAGCCACCTGGCCACCGTCAATCAGTCCCTGAATGTTATTCCTCAACAGCATCCAGCCGCGCTGCTCCAGGCGCCGTGATCCAGCCCTGGCGTCTGAAGCATGCTGGCGAAAATGGCGGCAACAAAGGACGCAAGGACGCTTGAGCCCCCTGGTTCGAGGGGGGGGGGGGGAAGCAACACCACCACCACCACCACCACCACCACCACCACCACCACCACCACCGCCACCACCACCAACATGGGGACCACCTCCAGCGAGGAGGTCCATGATGCCTCCCCGAGCTGGGGATAGGAGATGTCTCGAGCGAGAGGGGGGCAGCGCACCAGCAGGGGGGCTCCCCCCCTGGCTGCTCGCACTGGCGCTCCCTGGTGGTTGTGGTGGCGTCGCTTGTCCGTACTCCTACCTGTTGCTCGGGTCCTGGCGGCGTCGAGGAGGCAGAGCTGGAGGCGGGGAGAGGCCCTCCCTGCCCGTGAGGCCCACGGGAGGCGCGGCGAGCCTGGCGACGCCCGCCACGTCAGAGGCCGTGCCGAGGGCACGGCGGGCAGAGGGAGGAGGAGGAGTGAGGGAGGAGGAGGAGAAAGTTTAACGATATCAAAATTAACTCTCCTTCCAAGCTCCCTCTTCATAGGCCCCTGCAAAGATTCATTTTCACTGAAGGAAATGCCCTGTTGGTAAACAACCGTTTTAAAATCCTGGTCTGTGCCAGAATTCACCACCGTTCCTGGGACACGTTATGGCTGCGTCTTGGCAATTCTGAATAGTGCCAGAAAGCAAGTCCTGGGCTTCCAAGCCCACGAATCAACGTAACTGTTGCGCCCTGACAGTCCGACCTCTTTCCAAAACACCTGGGACGTCAACGATGATAATCTTTGAAACTGCTCTAAACTCTGAAAGCGAGTGTGCGAGGCGCTGAGGCGAGAAGCACATATTGAAAATGAACCGCCCTCCATCTGTGAAGCTGTTGCATATTTATGACGCATGTGTGCGGCTCTAAGGCGAGAGCCATATGGGATCCGGCAGTAAACCGTCAACCAGGTAACCGCCGGGAGCCTCGTAGAGCTCTGTTCTCGCGCGGCGCTGCTCGGAGCACACGAAAAAAAGCTGTCTAAAGCGTGAAGACAAAAGCTCGAAAAAACACGTCTTTTCATTTTGCATCTTCGTTTCGTGGACCTAGCTCGAGTACCAGACCAAGTTCAGACCTCTCGATACGAGAAAAGAACGCGCCGGATGATACTAGATTGATTTACATGCGCACCAGCTCTGTAGCTCTCCTAAATCTTCAGTTAAGTACAGGAAACCGAGAGGACTTGTCAAAATGACTCCAAGGATACAAATAGTTTTGCGGACCTAGCTCGAGTATGAGACCGAGTTCAGACCTCTGGATGCAACACACGCACGCGCCTGATGATGTTGAATCTGTTTCTATAAATATCAGCTCTGTAGCTCTCCGAAATCTCGAGTTAAGTACAGAAAACCGTGAACGCGTGTCAAGATGACTCAGAACACAGTCGGTTCCAGCAAGTGTTTTGATAGTAATATTGCAGCTACGGACCTGAGAATTTAACTGGCAGACGCAGCATAACCCACTACAGATGGGAAACA